GAGAGGCCTCCAGCGACTTACCTTTAAGGGAGGCGCTACTGACAGTTGATGCTGCTGGGGGTGTGGGGGTCGTGATCTCTGGGGGATGCTCTTACCCCAGTGGATGGCCACACCCCCATGTGTATGAAGGCTGGACTCGGGGAGTCTTAACAACAGTAAGAAGAAAGACATGAAGCTGGGAGGGAGATGGAACTGGCATCGTTAGGAGAGGGTGGACCAAGGTAACTATAGATGGATATAATCAATAAATGTTATATAAATGTCTACCTAAATTGGCTATATTGTCTCAGTTACTTCACAGATTGTAGAAAATAACTATGACCTTGGGACAGTACTAAGATTTATGTACACAAAAGGGTTCCTGCTTCAGGCAATAAGGTCTATCATGGTGGAGAAGGCACAGCTATCAAACCCATAACCATCTGGGTACTTTGCGTCAGCCTTCAAAAACCAGTGTAGACTAGACCAGAGTGGATGGTGAGCTTTGTGAGGTCCAAGAGCTTCCCCCAGTGACACTTCCTCCAGCAGGCCCCGACTACAAAGGGTCCAGAGCATTTGGAAACAGCACCAACACACGGGCATCACCAAGCATTCCAGTGCATGAGCCTGTGGGAACGGTTCACAGTCAAGTCAAAACACTGAGTTTGTATAAATTGGTGATTATGATATCCGGAAATGTGAGTTTACTTATTTTAAATTGATGACTGAGTATCGATTTCTATTGGATGTTTTTCATTAGTATTCAGGGCTAGATCCTTTAAATATATTTGTAGTGTTGCTTTTTGTCGAACAATTTATTTTAGACTACTGAGTACCTGCTGTGTGTTTGGGGTAAAAGATCACTTGGTTTCTGTAACCCTTCAAAACACAGTATTCCAGCCCATTTCTGATGCCAGCCCTTCAATATAGTTGAATCTTGCCTGCCAGTTTGCAATCTGGGGAATTTCAATCTTCCTCTCGGGTCCATGAACTACTACAGTTGACAAAAGGGATTTCTAAAAGATAATTGTATTGATTAATTCAATTTCTGGGTCGAGCATAAGGTTGTAAATTGGAGATCACTCATAGAAATTGAATACAAAGGGAAAATCTTTTTAAGTCCTTTTTGTTCCCCTCTGGTGCATTGAATGATTTATGCTGAACTCCTAAAAGCTTTCCAGCCCCACAGTGCTTCAATAAACTTCTAATGGAGTCCTGAATGCGCCTGCTATTCCCGTTGCCTGTGCAGTAGGTGGGGAACCTTTGACTAGGAGGACAAGGCTTTGTTTTATTTTCATTGAAAAAACTCACATGCTAACACTTGAGGACTTTTAATATTTTTGGAAGATTTCTGGTGTTACATAATATATACCTTCAAACACATATTAATTATGTCATTTCCAAGTAAATGTAGGTACATTTATCTGTCGACATACTTAACCCAACCCAGTTTGGCTGCATCTGTATATGCAGGCATGACATCTCCACGCTGAATGTACTGGGCTCCATATTTCTTCCATGTTGGCTGGTTGAGTGTTTCATCAGCTAATGGCTCCTCTAAATACAGAAACCGTCTTATTCACATTCTATCACCCCCAACAGAGTACAGTATCATACCCTTTACACAATGGATGCTAAATTAATGGTTGTACTGAATGGTAACCAAAAGAATACACATTTAATCAAAGAAAAATGTACCGTTTGATTTTTCGTGCAGGTACATGGCAAAGATGTCACTTAGAGAATGTCCCTTTTTATTGTCAATTAGGACTGTCTTATTCTCATCCGATGAGATGGAAGCTAAGCTCTGCCACTTTTATATAGTTTTCTTTATAATTGTGAACATGGAGAACCACATGAGGCCATCAATCAGGGGAGAGATGAGGGCCCAACAGAATTACTTCTGTAGGTGGCCAATTTTTTTTCAATCAAGGACAGCTGAAAGGTCATGATTAAAACAGTGATTTTTCCAGAAATTGTAAGTAACTGTTAGTGATTGTTTTGCACAAAGATGTCAAAACTACCTTTTTCCTCTGAAAAAAGAAAATTATAAGTTCTTGCAAACATTGGCACTTTTCCAAATTTTGCTTGTACCTACTGTAATGTGTTTTAATTACCACACTGGAGTCAATTTCTTAAAAAACAATGAAAGGCAAAAGTAAGTCTGATAGGAAGCCTCCCCAAAGCAACAATGGCTGTACCAATCCCTACACATTTGCTGCTTTGATGAGACTGAGATCTTGTGATTTTATTCTAAGAGAGTGCATAGTATGAATTATAATCTCTGGAGAAATGAAGGGTAGCTTCACTAGTATCTGCACTAAAATGTGGAAGGGATGCTTCAGAGATTTGAGTCCCTTCATGTAGAAAATTCAGGAAGGCAGCTGGGGAGAGCACATGTTGCTGTGATTTCCCTAGGTGGCCCTCTGTGCTCTGGGACAGGGCTGACCCCACACCCTGGCTGGTGGCAGACAGGACTGATCCTCTTTGCTCAGATGGGTTGTGGACATGGGGTCCTGACCCCGAGTAGTTAAGGATTCTCAGGACCTTGGCCAGGAGGATTTTAAGCAGTGTCCTAGGCACTTTCCTAATCAGGTAATTACATGCTTCCTGCAGGTCTGGTTTTATTTGTTCATTGGGGTTTTTATTGTCATCTGTGGTTGGATACAGGACACTAAAGTCTTTGTTTATGTATCCCTGTTATATTTTAAGTTCTAGGGTGCATTGAATGTCTTTAAAATGGAGTTGTCAATTCTGTGAGATGCACTGTACTTTAGTCTCCATTAATAGTATGTATTCTGTGCTCATGTGTGCATGTGCATGTCCACATACGCTTGTCTGTGTATCTGTGTGTGGAGGCCAGAGGTCAACTTCACATGTCTTATTCTTTGTCTTTCCCCCTCATTTTTGAGACAAGGTCTCTCACTGAGCCTGGAACACTGAGTGACTGAGTGAGCCTGAGGAATCCTCCCGTCTGCCTCCTAGAGGTTGCAGGTGAATGCCTCCATGCCAGGCTTTTACATGGATGCTGGGGATCCGAACTCAGGTCCTGCTGCATGGGCATCAAGCCACCTGAGCCATCTCTCCAGCTCACGCTCTGGATATTTACTCTCTGCTTTCATTCAATCTTCTTTTTCTCTTTAAGAGATGCACACGAAGAGATAAATGAACACGGACAGTGGCGGTGGCTGCAGCAGATGGAGAGGAGGTCTGGGGCTACACCTTGGGGTGATCTTCGTGTACCTATGTTCCTTGCCTTGCAGGAAGGTGCTGATGGGGAACAAGATGAGTGATAGAATTGCTGGGCTTGTAAAGGGCCCATAGGGGTCTTTGCAGAATGTGACTTCCTCTGCAATTAAAAACTTTAGTTCCAGGATGATGGGGCTCATGTCCACATCAAATGCCAATCTCCCCCCTGTGTTGAGCACATTCAATACAAATGTGCATGGCAGAAGGGGGCTCCTCTGAGTCTAAGAGCAAAAGTATCTTGATATGTCATAATTTTGATGGCCATGTTTTAAGTTAAATAGTTCACTCCAAATCTTCTTTGTAATCTATAGAAAGATAAAATTCTATCAAATCAACATTAAAAGCACTGCAGGTGATAATTTGCTTTCAAAGATAGTTCATCTAGTCCAAAGCCACCCTGGTCCCAAGTGTTTTCCTGTTATATGCTTGATTGGAATTGTGATTATTGGGTTCTTTGTTGTTATTTTATTTTTCAATAAGGAAAACTCAGTCATTTGGCTCTGACTTATCTCTTAATCTTACAAGTTGCCCCACAACTGTACTACACAGGAAGGAAAGAGGAGCCTGTGAGACAGAGCGCTGTGCTGCTTGGGTCCTGGTCTTATACATATTCTCCCTGCCAATGGCTGTGTTGCTTGGATTCCCTGCCTCTTCTTTTCATCAGTAGTTCAGTATGTGTGAGCTGCCATTGAAGTCAGTTGTAATGGAGAAGTACTGAAGGACTCTTTGCCTTGTGAGCCAAACTCTGCCTGCATTGCTGGAGTGCACTGTGATCACCGATAGTGGGTCCTCTGCTGGATTGGTATTGCATGTAGTCCTTGGTTAGAAATAGCTCTTGGCGGCCTTGTGGTTGTGTGAGTTTTGCCTTCAGAGTCACCTCTGGGTTCTCTGTGATGGAGCTGAGCCCATCTCAATACCAAGGTCTCTAAAATGTTTTTCGGCCAGTTATGGCTAGTTTTCCTCCTCCTCCTCCTCCTCCTCCTC